TTTATGCTACATTTGATTAACTGTGAAGCTGTGATTCTTTGCTTGTCTAAAACACCTGATGGTCCTAATGAAGAGCCGAACGGCCGATAGCGAGGCAGGAGCAAGGATAAGCGAGGCTGGCAGGCAGAGAGGATAAATAGGAGAACCAAAAGCAAGAAGTAGCAAGGAGAGAACAAGGAGAGGAAGACATCAGGGGCCAGCCACCCAGCTACACAGCAAGACACGGAGAAAGAAGTAAAGGAAGATATACAGAAATAGAGAAAGCTCAAAGCCCAAATGCAAAAGGTAGTCAGGGTAATTTAAGAAAAGCTGGAAAGAAAGAAGGCAAGCTAAGGTCGGGCCTTCATAAGTAATAATTAAGCTTCTGTGTGATTTATTTGAAAGCTGGATGGTGGCCCCCTCAAAAAGCTAAAAGAGTAACATATCACACTACATGTGTGTGCACAAGTGCATGCGTGTGTGCGTGTGTGTGTGTGTGTGTGTTATACAAGTGACTGTATAGACAGTTTATATGATAGGAGCTGAGTCGTCCAGCGACAGTCATCTGCACACTTTGAGAAGCTGAGAAGTAGCTGCTGACTACAAAAGGCCAGATGTTTAGCAGCTCCAAGTTTGGATGCTGCTATTGAATCAGCATTTAGAAGGCCGAAGAAGCTGGAGTCTTAAATCAGCAGCAGTGACAGGCACACTCACTTAGACAACATGTCACCAGAGGGCAGTAGCGGTGCACGCCTTCAATCCTAGCTCTGGGGAAGCAGAGGCAACCATGGTCTACAATAGTCACAGGACAACCAGGGCTATACTGAGAAATCCTACCTCAAAACAAAACAAAATTTACACACAGAGAAAGAGAGAGAGAGAGGGATGGGGAGAGTGAGAAAGAAGGAAAGAAAGAAAGAAAGGGAGGGAGGAAGGAGGAAGAAAAAGGCACAGCTACACTGCACAGCCCTTTATTCTCAGCCTTCTCTGGGTCATTCAATGGAATTCTCAGCTCACATTGAGGATGGGTCCTTCCCTGAATCTAAGCACTAATATGCAGCTTCAGAAATATGAAGTGCGGGGTGGCCCAGTACCGTGAAATCCAGGCTGACAGCACTGGAAACCCAGAAAGTGCTTCGCCTACTGGTCCCATGGGAAGTGTTTATTCCTTCTTGATGACGACAGAGAGCTTTGCTGGGTGCAGTAGTCAGGCTTGGCAGTTACCTTTCAGAGAGCTTTGCTGGGTGCAGTAGTCAGGCTTGGCAGTTACCTTTCAGAACCTGAAATGCCTCTTCCCAGGCCCTCTTGGCTTTCAGCGCCTCAAGGATAAGAATCTTGTTGTTCTTCCAGTGGGCACACCTTTATATGTGACTTGGTGTTTCTTGGGCCACTTTCAATATGCTTGCTTTGCTTTGCGTACTTAGTGTTTTAATTTTAGTATGAAGAGAGGTTCCCTTGGTGATCTCTTTGGTTTGGTGTCCTAAAATGCCTATCTCTGGAATGGTACCTTTCTCCTAACTCTGGGAAATTTGGCTATGGTTCTTTGGGAAATGCTTTCTATGCCAAGTGAGCTTATTCTTGTGTGTTCATACAGCGTGCGAATGACTTTTATAGTACTGTGTACTGTCTTGACAGTCCCCCTACACCTTACCTTTGTTGTTGTTGTTGCCTATCAAGTCCCCTACTTGGCCTGCAGGCTCGGCTATTCCAGTGCATCTTCAGCCCATTCTACCGTTACGACTTCCCGTGGGCTTTGTTTTCACTTGCAGCGTTTCTGACAGTCCTTCATCAGCAATCCTTTGTACCGAATTCCTCTTTCAAATCTTGTATCCTCTTATTTCATTCAGCTGTTTGTGTTCTCAGCTCATCCTTGCCAGGTACAGTGCATGTTCATCTTTAATGCCAACATTTGGGAGGCAGACATGCGGATCTCTGTAAGTTGGAGGTCAGCCTGGCCTACATAGTGACTCCCAGATCAACCAGAGCTGCAATAGTGAGACCCTGTCTCAAAAAAAAAAAAATTCTCTTCTTTAAACACAATTATTATAGGCTGAGCAATTTCTGGAGGACTTATGTTGACGTCTTACATGACTGCATTAGATTTAGATTTACACATCAGGGATTATTTCATGTTTATTTTACTGCTTAACCGACTACATTCTTCTAGTTGAAGTAGTCACAAGATTCAGGTGGAACCTGGATGGAATATAGTGGGAAGTGTGTACTTCAGAAAATGGTTCCTCCGTGTAGGAGCTCAGGGCGCCTGGTGAAGCCTGCATACTCCCTGAGGAGTCTCTATCAGCCACGGCTGCTGGACAGTTCTACTATGTAAATGTTGTGTTAGCCAATTTACAATAGTGGCACCATGGACTTCAACCCCTGTTGGAGTTCAAACAAGGACAGGGAGGGGGTAGGTAGGAAGAGTTGAGGAATGAACACAATCAAAACATACATGAAACTCAAAACTCTTATTAAAGAATATAAACGTTTATATTTATTTTGCCCAAAATCTGTTTTTTTGATAAACCTTGTCTTTTTTGTTTGTTTGTTTGTTTGTTTTTTTGGTTTTTCGAGACAGGGCTTTTCTGTGGCTTTGGAGCCTGTCCTGGAACTAGCTCTGTAGACCAGGCTGGTCTCGAACTCACAGAGATCCGCCTGCCTCTGCCTCCCGAGTGCTGGGATTAAAGGTGTGCGCCACCATCACCCGGCATAAACCTTGTCTTATTCTTTTGCTGTGAAGAGAGACCATGACCAAGGCAACTTACAAAAGGAAGTGTTGAACTGGGGGCTTGCCTACAGTCTCATAGGGTTAGTCCACGATTACCCTGGCAGGGCGCATGGCAGCAGGCGGGCGGGCAGTCCCTGGAGCAGTGAGAGCTACAGGCAGAGTCAACAAGACCAGGCCTGGCAGAGGCTTTTGAAACCTCAAAGCGCACTTCCAGTGACACAGCTCCTCTAAGAAGGCCACATGCACTCCAACACCTCCTGCTCCTTCCCAAACACTTCCACTATCTGGGGACAAACACTCCAGTATGTGAGTCTATGAGGGCCGTCCTCATACAGACCACCAGAGACTCCAATATGTGAGCCTGAGAGGGCCGTCATCAAAACACCAGAGATCTGCATTTTCTCACTAGAGGTTGTGTATCACTATAATTGAAAAGTGTATTTGGATTTTTCAATCTTTTGCATAAATTATACTGAAGTTTCCCAAAGGGTTGGGATTATAAAATGTTTTTAAACACAGGGTAGATGCATGTTACATCCAAATCTGACAATCTATGTGCTTATGTACAAAGGTAATTTAATTTAAAACCAATTTTGGGGGCTGGAGAGATGGCTCAGAGGTTAAGAGCATTGCCTGCTCTTCCAAAGGTCCTGAGTTCAATTCCCAGCAACCACATGGTGGCTCACAACCATCTGTAATGAGGTCTGGTGCCCTTTTCTGGCCTGCAGACAGACAGAATATTGTATACATAATAAATAAATAAATAAATAAATAAATAAATAAATAAATATTTAAAAAATAAAAAATAAAACCAATTTTGTAGATATTTATGATACTGAATAAAATATACAATCCAAACCCTCGTGTGTGGCCCACAGCCAAAATTTAGTACTAACAAGCATGGACACTATGTGAAATTATGCTAATGAAATACATGCTTCATTGGTTTTAAATAGGCACACTTTATATTAATGTGGATATTTTTAACACTGATGCTTTTTAAATGCTGGCATAATATTTACTAAAGGAGCTAAGTGAAAGACAGGAATGCACAACTGGTCAAAACACAGAGAACAAGTGTCAGTGGAGAGCCCACCACAGGTGGAACCTGTTTCACAACCGTCACAGCAGAGGCAGAAGGGCCAGAGGCTGGGGAGGCCTGGCACCAAAGAGCATCCGAACAGGGCAGAAGAGAACCTGCACTATGAACTCAGCCGCTGTGCTCTTCCACAGGATCAGGGACCTCGACATTCCAGCACACAGTGGGAAGGGGTTCCTGAGCCTCACCCCTAACTGAGGAACTATGGACAGGCATGGCTTAGGGGGAGTCAGCTTTCTTTAAGGCTGCAGCTCCTGGTAGGTTGATCAAGCTCCAGTGAACAGCCCGCCCCTGGGGGTACAGGAGCAGCACAAATGAGGAGTTGACGGGTGACTGAAAAAAAAAAAAAAGAGCACACAAAGTTGGGGTGGTGTGGGGAGCTGCGGGTGGACCTGGAGGAGGAAGGTGACTGGGATCAAGGTACATGGATGGAATGCTCAGAGAACTGCCGTTTTCACAGAGAAATCAAGAGGCCGTGGGCACTGCTGTTCCCTGGCTGTGAGGTGTCTGCAGTCCCTGGCCTCAGGGGGACGAAACTGTGACCCAAAGCCAGCCTTCCTTCCCTCTGTCGTTTGTCATGCCACAGTCCCAGTCACAGAAGTGACTAGTAATCCTCGTCGAGAAACTGATAGAGCCGGGCAGTGGGGACGCACACCTTTAGTCCCAGCACTTGGAAGGCGGAGACAGCTGGATTTCTGTGAGTTCCAGGACAGCCTGGACTGTTACAGAGACACAAAACTCCCGTCTCAAAAAGAAATACACACACACACACACACACACACGACCAAGTCCCCAAAGAAAACAGAGAGGGCCACAAGAAACGCATCCAAGAACTATGCAGAAGGTGCCTTCTGTGGATGCTGCTTACAGAAAACCGGCCGCGCCCACCTGCTGTGTGAACGCTGATCCATCCACGCTGGTCTGTGAAGTTGATGGAAGCCAGGTTCTCAGACAGTACTGAATTCTCTGGTTATGAATGGCAGGCAGGATGCTGACAGTTTTAAAACACGCTGTCTTTAGTGTGCACGAGACGGCGGGGTGTCGGTACCGTGTCAAAGCAGCTAAGCTGGTAACTACAGACGTTGTTCTGGGCTGTGCTGTCAGCTGGGGGCAGTGTGAGGCTGGAAAGGGAAATTTTGAACCATATCTATAAAAATGCAGTTATGAATTTTAATGTTCTTGGAAAGTGCTTTGGGCTCCCGACTCAATTGAAGATGAACGTACACAGCAATGCACTGTGGCCACCACTGCTGGGGGCAACACTGCATATCCTTCTCAGCAAGCACAGTTATCTTCGGGGAAAAAACTATTTCATTTTCTTTCATACACTTTTATTTCCAAAAATTTTAAAGTGCACATGCATTATTTTTAAAACAAAACAGCAATATTTTAGAGACAACATCATTCAGTTAGATGTAAATTTGACGAAGCTGAATCAGTAGATAAACATGGTTTATTACTTTACTCGTGAAAGTAACTCCTACATGTCACGTTCTGGCCTCCCTAGGCTGTTTCCAGCTCCTTGGCAGAGGCCCTGTTCTGGTTTAGAGCCCACATCCATGTACGGATGTATGATGGCCACAAGGCAGGGGTTCCCAGGAACACAGCATGGGGTTCCCAGCCCTACCCACTGTAGTGAGACAGCATGCCAAGCAAGTTCCTCGGCTTATCTTGTGTTCAGTGAGGAATCATTTGGGCACAGCCACAGAGGTTGTGAAAATACATTTTAAGAAAAATAAATATTCTGCATAACGTATTTACAAGGTTCAACTGTTCTGCCCTTCATCCCAATTACGAGACGACGGATAACTCATCAGACAACTAAGGAGCATAACCCCGTTGTTCATGTCAGTTCAGCACAGGACGTGGGGCTGAATATCCACAACTTTCTCTGATCCATATTTAAAAATATACAAAACTGCAAATGCATTTGCTTGGAAGAGTTTCAAGAAAGAAGTACAAATGGCTTTGTGGTCTCCACTCTTACGGTGCCGCAGGACCGCCAGAGCGTCTTCCGGGTCCTCACACAGGCACAGCCAGCCACAGACCCTGTCATTTGTGTCACAGAACACTCACACCAACTACAAGACGCACAGAAAGCACAAGGGACAACTGTGGACGAGGGTCCAGGGCTGAGGGCACCATTAAAACTTGAAGAGGTCAATGAAGTGCTGAGGGGACACAGGCGTGAAGCAGCTGTCGGGGTCAGCCGCGGTGCAGGGGTGTCCCGAGTCCTGAGGAGAGGAGGAGGAGGGTCAGGACACATCATTACACTCCCACAGAACTAGCATCTCAATTTTGTTAAGTGGATCCCAGTCCCTTTCAATGCTACACAAATGACTTAGCCGGGAGTCAGTACCTGGGTGGCCCCAGGGGAAGGCCAACAACAGTGGGCAATGCTTCATCTCTGTGGTCACCCTGCCTGCAAGACCTCTGCCTCCCCTGCCCACCCCCTCCACATCCTGCCCACCGGTTCCTTCTTCCCTTTGCAGGCTTCCGGGATGGGTGAGTAGTCTCCCCACAGAAAGGAAGGGACGCCACAACACTGTCCCAAGGGTAGGGGTGCAGAGTTGGTACAATTATTTTAGTAGAAGCAATGAGAGAAATTTAAGATGTGCTGAAAACTGGCAGCATCTAGAGAGGCTCAGTGTGGCTGGAGCCGCCGCTCTGGCCTCCAGCAGAGCACGCTGAGGTGCGGGATGGTTTGTCAGTAGCTTTCTGACGTAAGTCTAACTGTGGTTAGCGAGAGCTGAACCTTATCAAAGCTGCCACCCAACAGGGCAAGGACAGTACAAAGATGGGACCAGCACACCGCCACAGGAAGTACCTTCAACAACCAAGCAAGTTGGTAGTCCTTGACACAGTGAAGAGCCAGCAAGGGAGCAGCAGAGGGAGGAAAAGGAGAGTCAGGGTTAGACGGAGCAGGGAGTCACCAGGCATCAGGTTTGAAGCATATATTGTGAAAATAACTGAGACACTTGTGAGTAAATCTGATCAATATTAAACAGTATGAAAAGACAGCATCACATTTATACAAGTGAGAAAACCTAGGACAAAGCCAGGCAGGGCGGCCAGTGCCTTTAATCCCAGCATTTGGGGAGTAGAGGCAGGTCGGTCTTTTGGCGAATTAGAGGTCTACATGAAGAGTTTCAGGCCGGCCAGGGCCACATAGTGAAAAAATATGTTTCAAAAAATAGAAAGAAAGAAAGAAAGGAAGAAAGGAAGGAAGGAAGGAAGGAAGGAAGGAAGGAAGGAAGGAAGGAAGGAAGCCTAAGGTAAGAGAAACTATTCCATTTCCCTTTAAGTTTTCCAAACTGACAATCTGGAAGGCTATACCACTCTTTAAAAAAAAAATGCATAAGCCGGGCAATGGAGGCGCACGCCTTTAATCCCAGCACTCGGGAGGCAGAGGCAGGCGGATCTCTGTGAGTTCGAGACCAGCCTGGTCTACAAGAGCTAGTTCCAGGACAGGCTCCAAAACCACAGAGAAACCCTGTCTCAAAAAACCAAAAAAAAAAAAAAAAAATGCATAAAGCAGTCTTATATTTCCATGAAAAATATAAGATTCTGGGGGGAAGGCCCCTCATCTCTTTTATTGTTCTGGGGTCTTCTCTGTGAATAACTATGGAGCCAACTGTGCCAGTGTGAGGCACTCCATCTATCAGCACCTCATGTCTTACAGTCCACCAGCGTCGGCTGTAGCTTCTGTGTGGCCAGCAGCCCTGAGCTAGTGGCTGCTCCTGTGCTAACTGGATGGTCCGTCTCTGCCCTGCTCAGGAGCGGGGTGGCCTTTCAGCTGTGCTCACGTGGGGGCAGTTCACAAAGACGGCCAATAGAGAGGGTCTGGGAACTGTGCCTCAACACTGGTTCTGCTCATCTTGCTTCTACTGCCTTCAGAGACCTCAGGGTCACTGCTAAGTGTCTAGCCCTCTCTTGGCTACTGAAATACCAAGACAAAAAAGGAGCAGAGAAAGGCCAAGTCCCCAGCCTGGCCCCCAGCCCTCTCTCTGGGACCACAGTTTCTGACAGGCTTCGTGTCAGGAAACCACGTAGTGATGGAGAGAGACATGCGCACACCAGTACGCCTTCTCAGGGTACTGGTAACCAGGTGGGGAACAACCGACTGGGTCTTGAGCAGTAGTTGGAATAATTAAGAATCACTCCAGTGTAGTGGACTAGAACTGATGGAAAACCAGCTAGGGAGGAGGCACAGGGTCCCCTCGGGGACAGGTGGCCACGGTGGAACATGCCAGGTACAAGACGAGGACGACCCATCCTTCTTCACACTCCCAATGGACTTGAGGTTCCCTTAGTGTCCCAGTCGACAGTGTTTCCCAGGAAGCTGAGGCAGACACCACTAACATGGGGCACCATTTCCAAAGCCACTACACATTTCCATGAGTCAGGCTGCACATTGCCACACCTGCAGCGCACTGGTCGGCTGGGCCTCCCTGACCACATGCCATGCCCTCCCCAGGAGGACGCTGTTCTGGAGCGGCATCCTCAGGGATTAAGAAAGACGGTCCTCCTGACATCTTCACAGGAACGTTGGGAAACAGACCCTCCACGCAGCAGAGCCTCTGGAAGGACGGCAGGCGGGGAAGCTGTGCTAATATGAATGACTTTCTGAAGCCTCAGACATCCTGCGGGGTTGGCGCCACCCTCCACCAACTTGTCTCTCAGACCGGCAAAGACCAGCAGGGATCTGCCCTTTAATGGCCTGTTCTGACTTTTCATAGCGAGATCACTATGGCAGGAGAGGCCAATTCTTTGGAAAACAAAGTCATCTTTCAGGTAAAAATAACCAGAACTTAGACATTCCAGGGAAGCTGAGCAGCCAAACAACAGAGATGGTACAGAGAGAGCAAATGTTCTTTGTGCTGTTTTCTTCAGTGGATAGGAAAAGTGCCAAATATTCTTAGATACTAATCCAAGAAAAACACCAATTATCTTATGCAAAAGTCTTCAATCCCATGATCAGTACCTTCCCTCAGCAAGTATCCATACATTTAATATCTGTATAGTATAAAATACTCTCGGGAGGACACGAGAAGCCAGTTTCTAAGCGATGTATCAATTCAGAGAACATTACCAGCCTCAACCGCTCTGACTGACAGACTGTCCTCAGAGGAGCAGAGAAGGAAGTGTCACCCGCTCTGACTGACAGACTGTCCTCATCTTTTCAGAACAATAGAGAAGGAAGTGTCACCCGCTCTGACTGACACAGACTGTCCTCATCTCAGAGCAGCAGAGATACAGATATGCTATAGCCAGGATCCTACACTCGAGGCTGTCTGTTTGTATGCATAAACTCACCAAGGAACTGAGGACAAACTGAACAAGAACCCTGTTCTCAAGAGAGAGTCTTCTAGAGAGGAGACGGCCTGCTGCGGAGACAATCATACAACTGGCACTTGTTACTTCTGAGGGAGAAGGGAACAAAGGTGGGGTGGGGGACAGCCTCCTTAGCTGTCCTGCTGGGGACGCCAACAACTTCTGCTCAGCGCCTGTCAGACAGCCCAGTGACCTCAGCATCTTTACCCCTCTGCTCAGCTCTGAACCATCACAATAAAAGGCTATGCAGTTATAAATGGAGTTTGAACTGAAAAAAAATAAAAATCTGTCAACAATTTGGAGCTTGCCTTGTATCCCATTTGCTCACAAACTTAGATGGGTATGAAGCAAAATCTCTAAGCACATTTCTGCCACTACCAGGGGGAAAAGTGACACAAAGGGCCCTCCTGTAGCTGAGGGAAACATGCTACTGTAACCAGAGACAAGATGGGCGGGGAGATCTCAAAACAGGCAGTGAGACTGGAGACGGACAGTTTGCCCTCGCGTCCCCAGAGCACACGTGGAACCCTTACCTTCCAGAAGAGAATGCTGCAGTGGCGACAGAAATGGAGGGTGTCCCCATACTGCTCTTTAGTGGGGTAGTACTTCTGCAGGGTGAAGTACATCAGCTTCCACTCGATGTGACCTTTCTCTGAAAGGATCAAGTGCCTACAAAACTGAAACAGAAGACTCTGTTCAGAATATTAGATGATCTCTAAAACAAGCATTAAGTATTATATATATGTGTGTGTATATATAATATATATATGGCAGAGCAATATATGAAGCACTTTATGATCTGATATTAAACTCACTTGGATTAAATGAGTGAGGAACAAGTCAATCAAATCATGGTGTTCCCACACAGAGACGACGGATGGCAGCTCCGGAACGAGGTCTGCGATAGCTGTAGATTTTGAGTGTGTCTAAGACTCTTGATTCTTTCTATGCTTTCCATGAAACAGGCACAATTTACCCCCCAACTTCACACTGCTCCTCTATCTTCGTCATGTCCAGATCTACAAGATACACAACATAATGCCTGCCCCTTCCTATCCCTGTGTCGAGTGGGCATTGTTCTACACAATAGGCCAGGGATGTCAGTCGAGAGAGTCAAGTAGCAAGACACTGAGGACCTTAGCCAGTGCTACCAAGTGAGAAGCACAGGCCCTACAAGACATGGAGGACCTCGAGACTGTGCCACCAAATGAGAAATACTGGAGCTACAAGACACAGAGGACCTTAATATGGTGCCACCAAGTGAGAAGCATGGGAGTTACAAGACATGGAGGACTTGGAGACTGTGCCACCAAGTAGGCACCAAGCGTGAAGCTACAAGGACCTGCTGATTCTTCCAGGACAACAGGCTGACAGGAAGCAGAGCTAGACTATGACTTATTAGGTAAGAAGAATATCATGACCTTTGACCAGTAAATGTGATATAGCTCAGCTAATTATTCGGTACTAGGCCATTTTTAGAATCATGATTCCTTTTCAGTATGATACATGAATCTTGTAATTGGTAGAAGAGAATTCAGAAGCAACTTCAGTATACTCTAGTATTATCAAGTCTCTGGATATGGAATACATATCCTCCCAAGATCACTGAGCACCAGGGACCTGGACGGGACCAGCCGACCTGACTCAAGGGCACTGCACCACACACTCACCTGCTTCTCTGCAAAGTGGTACTGACATAGTTTCTTCCACAGCCGCCGGTCTTCACTGAGCATGTACAGGGTTGGTGTCACCTGGCCCAGGGTGACAATATCCCAGCCGTCTGAGAAACGGTACAGGATGTTGTTCAGCATGTGCAAGGGCAGATCACTGAGTGTGAGGCCAGAGTTCACCTGCTAAAAGGAAAACACAACAGCGTCAAACAGGAGAGAACACAGTGGCTTCCTTCAGCAACAAACAATGGCCATGCTAGGCCAACGCCTTCCGTGTGACTACAGGAAAGAAGTCTGCCCTGTAACGCTCACTTCAGTGTTACCCCACTACTGTGATTGGTGGTCTCAGAGGGCTGGCACGTGCAGTTTCGTGCTCACAAAGGTGAACCCTTGGACATAGCCCAGCTCTGTCCTAACTAGACAAACACCCAGGAAATGCAGCTCTGAAATGTGGACGGTGGCTGACGGCAGCCATGCTTTATGACAGCAATGGAAACAAGGGTCATGGAGTGGGCCACCACGCTGCATCCCACGACAGGCATGGTATCTACAAGGTCCCCCGGCTTTATTTGCACCAACCTTTTTTCTTTTCTTTTTTTTTTTTTTTTTTTGGTTTTTTGAAACAAGGATTCTCTGTAGCTTTGGAGCCTGACCTGGAACAAGCTCTTATAGACCAGGCTGGCCTTGAACTCAGAGATCCGCCTGCCAGTGCTGGGATTAAACGCATGCACCACCACTGCCCGACTATTTGCATTCACCTTTAAATCTGAATTTTCTCTTCATTGGAAGTTTAGCATATGTTTATGATATATAATGTGGTGTCTAATTAACATAAATAAACAAGTTTCTGTATCCCAAAAGAAAGTAGACATGGAAAAGAAACCCAACATGGAAGAGATTGCCTGCCAGCTATTCATCTGACAGGGGCTAATTTACAAATGCTAGGAAATCACAGGACTCGAGGATGAAGGACCCCAATAGATCCTATTTAAAAACGTATGAATTAATAATAACATGTCTCAAGAGGATACACAAATAGTCAACAAGTATATGCAAACACTCAAAATTACTAATCATCAGAGAAATGCCAATCAAAACCATAATGAGGCACCTGCCCACACCAGTTAGAATGACAATTCTTAAAACAGCAAAATAAATGCTGGTGACGGAGAGAAAGAGGAACTCTCATAGACTGTTGATACAAATGTAAATTACCAAGGAGAAGAGCAGCCCTGAGGCTCCTGAAAAAAATAGAAACAGAATTACCATATGACCCAGCAAGGCTGCTAATGCATATACATGCAAAGGAACTGAAATCACTGTTTAAACAGTGAGCAGGGTTCACAGTAACCGAGACATGGAATCACCCTAGTGTTCACTGACACATGACTTATACGATATATATATATATATATATATATATATATATGGAAAATACGTTATATATGATCCAGCAACAAAACTAATGAAACACTGTCATTTTGAGCAATAACGATGGAACCATAGTTGATGCAAAAGAAGTCAAAAATAGTAAGACAAAATCATGTTCTAAATTACATGTAGAAATGAAAAGGCGGAAGCCAGGTGGTGGTGGCACATGCCTTTAATCCTAGCACTTGGGAGGCAGAGGCAGGTGGATATCTGTGAGTTTGAGACCACAAGTTCGAGACTACAAGAGCTAGTTATAAGACAGGCGCCAAAGCTACGGGAAAACCCTGTCTCGAAAAACCAAAGAAAAGAAAAGAAAAGGTGGGTCTCAGTAAAGAAGTAGATAGAGAAGAGGGCCAAGAATATACAGCTAATGGGTCCAGGAAGACAGCTGGAAAGGAGGAGGAACTTTTATTGCTCATGGCACAGTGGTATATAACTATGGTTGACAACAGTTCATCGACAACCTCAGAGAACAGGCAAACGTCTGAGGTAATGGTCACCGAGGCCCTTACATCACAGATATGTAAAGTATCACATAGCCCCTCTTAAGTACATAAAATTACTGTGTCAATTAAAAAATAAATTTAACCAGATGTGCTGGCACTCACCTTTAATCCCAGTGCTGTACAGGCAGAGGCAAGCGGATCTCTGGTGAGTTCAAAACCAGCCTGGTCTACAAAGCCAGACAGAGCTACTAGTAAGATCCTGTCTCAAAAAAACAAAAAAAAAAAAAAAAAACAAAAAACAAGAAAACAAAGAGAAATCTACCTTAGTCATCTGAAGATTCTGTAGCTGTTGCTGCCAGTTGAGAACAGTTTCCAAGCGGCAGATCCAAATGTTGATGTTTCCCACTAGCACTGACTTCCCCACCCCTCGGACGAGGATGCAGAGGGTAGAACTCAAGTCCTGGAGAAGGTCTTTGATGAGGCGAGGGTTCTGATGGTCATCAAGAACTGAAACAAATACCAACAAGCCACAGATTGACAGAGCAAAGCCCACTTCTCACAGTGGCCATCAACTGAAAGATCCCTTCGTACACCGGGATACCACTCAACCTAGAGAAGGAAGGAAATTCTGGCCTGCCCCGTGTGGAGGACCCTTGCAGGAGCCGACCTGGAAGGAGCCAGCTACAGAAGGATGAACAGTATAATCCACATGCAGCAAGTCTCTAGAGTCTGCAGACTAAGACGCAGTGATGGGACAGAGGATGTGGCTGGCAAGTGGGAGCTGGTGTTTGAAGGGTGCAGAGTGTTAGGGCAGCAGCTCTAGAGACGGCAGTGACAGCTGCACAATGGACAAGCACATAGTGCCTTGAACAGTGTACTGAGAATCAATGAAAATGATAAATTTTATGTAATATGTATTTATCCCATTAAAAACCAAGGATCTAATTTCATGGCAATTTAAAAGGCATGATTTTTTTTTAGACATCAGAACTATTAATAAGAGTTTTAAAGTTTTTTGTTTGTTTGTTTGTTTTTGTTTTTTTGTTTGTTTTTCAAGACAGGATTTCTCTGTAGCTTTGGAGCCTGGAACTCACAGAGATTTGCCTGCTTCTGTTTCCCGAGTGCTGGGATTAAAGGCGTGCACCACCACTACCCGGCAAGTTTTTTTTAAAGTTTTAAAATCCTTTCTGCCTAATTTTTTGGTTGGGTCTACAATCTGAAAGTAGTCAGGGTACAATTTCTCTTGTACTTATGATAAAATGGCTTAAATACATGCTCACAAATTACTGGATGTGTATAAGTTAATTATATAAAAAGTTCCTTTTTCTAAGAGCCACTAATTGGTAAAGATAAGTTTATTAAATTAAAAGGAAAATTATGACTCATGTGGTACTTAAGTCAAAAAGCTGCAATCTTACTGATTCTAGAACCCAACAGTCCAGTGAATCGTGACTCACTGGTCATGAAAGAACAAAGTATCTTTGTAGGACTGGGCCTGGGGCGAGCTCTCTCTCTTGAGCACATCTGCACACTTAACAGGTGGAGGGTCATCTTCTGCCTGCAACCACAGTGTGCACAGTATTATCTGTGAATGTACACACTGTGGAAAGATGATAGGAAAAGCCCCTCTCCTTGTAACAAATCTCCAGTTAACATTTAGACTTACAGTTTCTGGTGTTGCTCATGCAATAGTGGCATGGCTATCTTTTGGGGATAACCAACTCCTTTCTGATTTGAATTTTGGATTTGAATGCTTGTTCCACAGCAAGGGATACATGTGTGGTGCTGTAAACCTGTCCAAAAGCCTGTGGCTAGGGAGGTAATAAGCCCTGGGTAGGGAACCCACTACTGCTGTTTTGCTAAATGGACCAAACTGTTTCCTAATATTTTGTTTAGGGCCCTTTCCCAGTGCTGCTCTCAGCCTTGGTGGGAGAAGCTTACGCAGTGGGCAGAGTTAGTATAGAGACTCTTCACCAGCCACGGTGATGAGAACATGTGACTAAGTGCTCAAACCTAAATGAAAAGACCCCAGAGGATGGGAAAGCGTGCTATGAAGTGCTGCCTTCTGGATAAGTGTTCACACCACTGCATGAACACACGTCATGGACACA